AGAACGGTGAAGAATCTATTGCTCCTGGGCAGCAGTGCGCAGAGAAAGGTTCAAGAGTTCAAACAATATCAGCAGTAGTAGAATGCCTTTTGACATCTTTTGACATAACATAGCACATCAATACTGGTTTCTTTTGTCTTTAATTGCTTCACTCAGGTCCATGCTTTCACATGGAATCCTTCAACTTTGCTGCTGGGACAGGCAAGTCACCTACGAGCCAAACAACCTCATGGAGGACCCCCTACGTGTCTGTATACTCGTCCATGTATGTCCATGTTCGATCATGTTCGTCCCGGTTTTACTCCGAGTCATTCTGAGTCAATTCACGCAATGTTGTGTCAAAATTGGCTCAGATTGCGGCCCTGTGTTCCGATTTGACTAACGCTCCTTGTGCCTTTTGACCTGTGGGATGCCGCGACGTCAAGGTCAACAGAAAAAGATGGCTCTGGACACCTTTGCGTGCGTGCCCGAGAATGAATGGTACCATGCAAAAGATGACTGGCCAACTATCAGGACGTTTTGCAAGACTTGGCATGGGGAGCGGGATTTGGATGTGGTCAGTGTCTTTGACAGATCACGAAAAGTGCTGCAGCAGTGGGAAAGCCACGGCTTCAAAGGTGAATGTTTCGACATTTGCCATGAGCCGGCCATGGATGTGGCAAGCAAAGCCGGCTTCTTTCTTTTGCTAGGGATGTTGATGAGGTTGCTTCCTCAATCCTTTTCAATGTGGGCTCCACCGTGTTCCATGATGATCTTTTTGACATCGTCGTTGCACAAGCGGCACGCCTTTGGCTGTGACGGGGACATTCGTCAGTATGCTGTTCGCCTGAGCAACGTGATCCGTGACAATTGCGCTGTTGCGCTCAAGGCTACGCTGAAGTTCCGGCCGGACTCACTCGCAATGGTTGAACAACCTAGTGGATCGTGGATGTTCAAATCTTCCCTTTGGACGGAGATGATACCTGGTTTTGGCATGAGCAAGGCCTTGACCTATCAAGGTCTTTTTGGTGGACCACTTCTGAAAGCTACCCACCTCGTCCACACCATGCCAACCAGCATTCTGTTTGCCCGTCGATGTCCCAAGGCAGTTCGGGAGAAGTTCAAGAAGAAGCATGGCGACAAGGAGTACTACATCAAGGATGCTTCAGGTAGAGTGCATGGCACAAAGAAGCTTACTTCAACAAGCCTGTACCCTGCCAAATTGATCCGGGCCATTTACACAACATGGTTTGCGCTGAGGTCAAAGTGATGTTCCATGACGTCTCAAAGTCTCAATGGCGTCCATGAACGTCCGCGCCGCCCGCACACGTCTGAGTAGTGGATGAGGCACATTCTGTGCTCATAGCAATCTTTTCACTGTAGGCTCTAGATTCTACAGTATTAGATATTATTAGATTCTAGATTCCTTCATTTTCACAGGGGGTTGGAAGAACACAGGGGGTTGGAAGTGCCACCAGTGCACACCACAACGTGGAGTACAGACCGGGCTGGGGTTTGCAAGCCTGAAAACAATTAATTTGGAGGTGTGTAACAGGTGAAGTGGTTGTGAATTAATTTTTGGTGGCCAGTTCAATATGTTCAATTCACAAACAACTGTGACTCTTGTGCCTGTTGTGTCAGTCCGAGCTGAATGCCAGGACACGATAGAGTTGTTTTTCGGCCAAGTCAAGAGCATTCGGCGAGGGCGCCTGGGTACTTGCACCACTGCAAATTCCATCGCCGGAGCTCAGATGATTCACGCCAAACAGATGCAGCAGAAGACCAAGGCAGGTATATTAGGTATATATGGTTGTTTTAAATGTTTTAAGGTACCAGTGGCTGTTCTTTTCTTCTGTATTTTCAGAGGTGGGTGGTGGAGAACATGTTGACCCCTCGATTAATTTTCCACTTGATGTTCTTCCAGGACAAACTAAGAGAAACAAATAGCAATGTAATTTTCAGAGGTGGGTGGTGGAGAACAGGTTGACCCCTCAATTAATTTCCAACTTGTATTCTGCCAGCCAGGTGCACAGTGATCGGCTTCTACCAGAGGACATGGATGCACGCCGTATTGCAAAGGAAGCTTTCCAAGACGCTTGCCAGTTCACTTCTGTTTGCTTGGTCGCCACCCCTTGTGATGAAGTTCGTGCTCGTGTCACAGCTTGGTGGAAAGAGGCTGGCAGGAAGGAATTGCTCCCTGCCGTTGGAAACAACTCTGGCTTTGAGCTTGAGGACGACTTGACTGATAATGAGGAGGTTGTAGAGGACTCCGCTGCCCCGAACATGGCAGAAACACACGAAAAGACAGTGGCAATGTCACTTGAATCCGTCGAGAATCAATTGGAGATGGAGGCTGAGTTGCGTGAAATCTTGACAAAGGGTCCAGGTGACACACCAATTCCGGATGAGACTGAGGATGCAGGCAGCGAACCGGAGACGGACCAGGAGACTACGCATGAGCCGGAGGAAAAGAAAGTGAAAAACGCTGAAGCAGAGACTCAGCCAGAAAATCCAATCCGCACCTTGCACGATGTTCTTGCAGCCTCTGGCTTTCTCGACTTCAAGCCCACAGAGAAGGATCGAGACCGGCTGTTGATTGAGAGGGTGAGGCACATGACTGGCGCCATGAACAAATTCGGCACATACATGCGTTTGTCAGAGAAATTATTGTCTCCAGCTTCCATCAGAGGGCGTACGGCAAAGCCCCGCATACAGAACCTGGCAGAACACGCCTTGAGCATGGCACGTGCTGCGCACCAGTGCAGTGGTCAAAGACAATCTCGCTTCAGTCTTTGGGCAAATTTCAGTCAAAGGACCCTAGACAAGGCCAAGGAAGAGGTTCCAGACAAGGATGCTGTGGCAGGAATTGTGAAAATCGGTGCCCCAACAACTGTGGTGGACGGTTTGATCAAGCACCAGCTGATCGTGATCAAGCCTGTGAAGGCTAGCATGGCTGAGGTGAACTCGCTTCGCTTCGCCACTCCGACCAATGTGTGGCGAGTGGCGAGGCGTACGGCAAAGACTGGCCAGAGGGTGTTTCCTTCCGGAGAGTTGCCTATGGAGTTGTTGAGTCGTGTCCATGCCTTGCTCCTGACGCCCAAGGATGTGGCTTCCAAGAATGTGGTGTTGCAGGGGGGGCGCCCTAGCATATTTCAATATATTTCAAATTATTTCAATATATTTCATACTAGTTTATCAATGTTTATCATATTTCATATTAGTTCATCGTATTTCATCTGTGTGTTTTAATTTAACTGTTTTCTCAATACGGGGGATCGGATGTGGGCGCCCGTCGGACATGTCATGACTAGTCGCTCAGGCCACTCTCTCCGGTCATGTCGCTGGATCCTCACGACGGCTCGCTTGTGTACGAGATTCCTGCAGACAAGTTCAAGGTGAAGTACAACGAAACATCTGCGCCTTGTTACATCTTGTTACTCAATGTTCTACACTTTTTACATCTTTTTACTTTTGTTTAAAACTTTGCTTTAGATTGCTTTAGTATATCGTTTCCATTTTCCATATTTTCATGACTATTTGGCCAGGTGACTTTCACCTTGCTAGAGGGCGTGCTGGAATCTTGGCATGCCATGGGTAAAACCGAGATCTCTTTGCATGACAATGAGAAGCAGAAGAAGTCATCCTCCCCAAGCGAGCCCATGTATGTCACAGAGTTCGATCTGGGCGCGACAGAGAAAGGGCGTATCAACCAGGTCAAGTTCATCGAGTGCATGCTTGCAGACTTTGAGCATCTCCATGGCCCCATTGTTGAAGATGGAGTCATCAAGCTGAAATCTGGGCAGACGGAAGCATGGAGTCAGTTGAAGGCAAGAATCCCTGGCTACTTCCACCACAAATACAGCAAGTCCGGCCCCAACTGGAAACATCTCTCTCCCATGGAGAAAGGTTTCTCGTTCGGCCGCTTGATTCTCCGTGAGCTGCAGGCTATCGCTCCGACTCCTGATTCTAAGCCACAAAAATTCGTTAATTGGCTGGCAAATTTGATCATGGAAGCGCCGGCCGTGAGCGCAATGCCTTCCTTAGCCAAAGCGTCGGCATCTGTCAAAGCCCCCAAGCCGTGATAGGCTTGCCGGCACTTTGCAATGCTTGGGGAGTCTATGGAAGTCTGCAACATGTGAAACGTGTTTGATGTAGCGTCGCAAGTTCTCACCATCATCTTCATAGTTCATTGTATCTTGTTTTTTGAGCAAGTTTTCGTGTTCTCTGGTATCTGGGCAGACTATGCAGTTTAATTGAGTTGACGTAGGATGACGTAGGGGGTTTGGCGGAAGGGGCCGCCAGACAGAACGATGACAAACGCAGAAACGCACGGCGAGAAAAAGTGCGAAATTAATTGAAGGGTGTTTCAGATGTGCATGACTCTGCAGTTAATTCTTGGCTTGATGTGTAGGCTGGCCAGATTAATTTAGAGACTTGCTACTCTAGGTACTCCTAATTAATAATATCAGAGATCTTCCTTAATTAATTGAGATTAGAGGGGGGGGCACTGGTAGTTCTTAAAGAAAATTAATTTGGTTTTTGTAAAACGTGATTAAATAACTGAGGTCCCCATCAATTAGTTATTTTTATTAATTGACTAGTACCCCCAGTTACCCTCCCTGCCAACGCACGACGCATGGAAGAACGGATGGCAGAGTAGATAATGCATTAGTTTTGTTTGGTGGGGGTCGAAAGATAGACTTTCATAATTGAAGCATGTTGAAACTGTGTTGACTTGATCTTTGTTATTCACTCACCATTGGTCATGATTGACGTTCCCAGCAATGCACAGTGAACCTTTATGGTCGGTGTCCACCAGTGTGCTGACAGAAAGAGAGCTTGCTTCGTATTGGGATGGCCTCCACGGAAGCGACTGGCAACGTTGTTCTTTTGTACTTAACACAGGCGGGTTTGTTGATTCCCTTCAGTTTCAAGGTCTATAGTCTATAGCATGTAGGTCTTCTTTTCAGGTGTTCCAGAAGAACACTGATCAGACTCCTAGGCCTTATTTCCCCCGACAGGCGGATGGCAAAGGCATTGGCTTGCGCTTTCCTCGCTTCCTGCGCATCCGAGACGACAAGACAGCTGAGGACCGTCCTGGGATCGATCCTCGATTCCCGGTCAAGCATGTCCTGCCTGTCAAGCTGCAGCTCATGGTTTTCATATTGTTTTCATGCGTTTTCCTGTTTTCATGACACACCTCGGCAAAGGGTCAACCTGTCATTTCCAGGCAATGTCTAGAGCTGAGAGTGGATGATCCCTCTCTTGGCCTGGAAGAACCAGACAAGCCGTTGAGTTTGAGTGCCTTACTAGTGGCAATATCTCCATGCAACTGCACAACATGTCCTCTTCGCAAATGAAAACATGAAATGCACAAGTGTCGACTCTCATAGCACCCTTGACCGTCCCTTGAACCTGGGCGCCATGATAAACCTCTAACCTTGGACTCCAAAGACTCACCCTGAACTCCAATCGACAGTCGTCACGTCACTCGTACATACCGATAGATGCACACAATCCCCACACCTCCGAAGCCAACAAGTCCATAACAATATACATGTATACTGCATATATATGCATATATAATATACACAAATATACACCTAATAGCAGAAAAAGATCGATCAAAAAGCACACACATGTCACCATCATGTCCCCCAATTCCAGCAACATTCCAGCGAGTTCCCAGTCGTGATTTTTGAAGTGATCCCTTCGCATTCCTCGTCCGCAGGAGTCCACGGGCCCTGAGCAAATCGTCGAGATGTTTGAGGCCCAAGCCTCGGTTGGTGGCGCTGGACACGTCGGGCGCCCAGGACGGGTCGGAGGCATGGTGAACCCGAGTCGGTGGTACTCGGGTTGGAGGCCACGGTGTGCCACGGTGAGCCCTCCAAATCCGATCAGTCGCCACACTGAACGGAACTGTGTGGCACCCTTTTCTTTGGATTCCGGAGAAGCTACACAATTTGGATTTCAATCCTAGGTGGTGGATGTGTCAAAGTCAAAAGTCGCTGCTTGCAAATAAGTTTCTATGTACATACGAAACCCCACTGCCACTTCATGCCAGCGTCTTCACGTGACGCCCGTGTAACAGAGTAACCAGCCACTAAAGTCCTTGCAGAGTGACCAGAAGTTGATGAGTTGATGACTTCTGGTCAATAAAACAACTTACTGAGCGACAGCCAAACTGTCGGGGATGAGGGTTGGGATGTTTTCACATCCAGGTGTTCACAACCGTTTGCACGGCATGGCCCGGTCTGTCCAACAGAATAGATATATGCTGTGCAGGTTGTGGATAGAAAGTAAGTAGCAATACTTTGGGGGTGGTGTCGTCATTCGCAGAGACAACTAGGGTCATGTCAACTGGACTTTCTCAATGGTCATCTACAAGGGTGTCCCCACATGTCCTCTAAAGCTCTAGGTGTTTTGATGCAGCCAGCTTCATAGTGACCACCAAGGCTTTGAAGACCTTTTACGACAATGGTCCTGGGTAGAGAATAATATGTCCTTTGCAGATGTGCTGTACCTTTGTGCGTGTTTGGAGATTGGGCAGGCGTGTACCTTCTCACAGCAAAGCCCCAAAGAGCCCAAAGAGACTGCAGATGGCACTCTTCAGCAGCGCTGTTGCTAAGGCTGACGATGATTTTTAAGTCAGGAGATGTGCGACGTGGACGGGTTTGGAGCAAGCATCCCAGGATCATTGGTCGGTGATGTTTTCCATGAAAACGTGTGTGTGATTCAAATGTTGTTTGTGCGTGTGTGTCTCCTTGTGTATATATTTGTTGATGTCCACATTTGATCCCTATGTTTTTTTGACAGATTTGCGGTCTTAATGGTGCAAGCAGCCTGGGGATGCAAAAAGTTTGCTGTTTGGGCATCCCAATACGATACATATTTGGTATGGCAGAAACGAGGTTGTCCAACACAAATGATTCCTTATTTCACTGTTGGGCATTTGTATGTGATGAACAGTGAAAGCTGCAAGAAGGCCGCCGTCCCAAAAAACTGGTCACCAACGCATCTGTACCTGGAGCTTTGCTTGGCGTTTCTTGGAGCTTTGCAGTGAGGGGACCACTTGAAAATATTGATGTAGTCCGTGTTTGTTTCGAGAGGGCCACAACTCCAAAAAACTGACACAAGACACAAGACAAGTAGTACAGCTCTGGCACATCTGACGTATATTGCGGCCCATGGCTATAGCATCCAATGGTGCAGTTTCTCCCAGACTGTCCAACCCTCTCAACTTCTCTCTCCTCCCTTGGCAGGATAGATGCGCGTGCAACATGCGCAAGGGGGAAGGCCCAGCTCGCCGTTGCTTATGCGTGGTGATTGCGAGAGCCGGAGACAGCTCGCCCAAAATAAAAGATTCGATGGTGACATGCAGGCAATCCTAGTATTGACATGTATTGACGAAAAGGCTATAACTACTGCTTCCTGCACAACTAAACAGAAACATACATTCAATATCGGAGTGTTCAGCATGTACCTGACGATCTACAGTGCTTTGGGAGCCGTTCCTAGCAATGTGGACCTCTCTTGTGTCATCCTAGCAATGTCAACGTGGACCTTTCTTAAGGGTCCTATCCACCACGTCCACTGTCATATGTTTCGCATCCAACACATGCTGTTCAACAGAAGGTGTATTTTGGGGTATGGCAACAGAAAACAGACTCAATAGACTCTGGAAGATTTGGGTCCAAGTCGCACCAACCACAAAAGAACAAATCACGCAACATCAACATTTTGAATGTGCGCACCGTTGCTCCGGCACTCAAGAATCTAGAGGTGTACTTGGTGATCGCCGTGATAGGCCACTTCTTACCTGTGGTGTTTGGAGAGTGACAGCCTTTGGTGTTTTTCATGAGCACTGAATCATCTCCGCTTTAGTTTTACGGGGTCAGTCATTTGTTTGCGTTTACCACAAACCACTTGGTAACGGCACAAGACCTCGGAAGATTGATAAAAATTGAAGTTGTATACGTGTTTCAAATCCTCCCGATGATGAGTTGTGTGAACATCCTCTAGTAAATACATCTCTTTTATAGTGTTATTACTACCGAATACATACTCAGTGAATCTCAGTGAACTACTTCGTGACCCCGAAGAAGAACCCCTGCTAGTAGGTTGGAGGCCGTTGGAGGCCATCGCTAGTGCCACCAGGTCTCTGGAGAGCTCGGGGGTCCGGACGCTGCGCCCTGGCACCATGTCCAGAGGAAGCGGATTGCACACTCTAAATAAATGCTCAACATGCTCCCGACAGATATTAAATTCTGATACCTAAAACTCTTTGGATCAGCTTAACAATAGCACGAAAATGCCAAGTCCCCCCTTGGTGTGACAGGCATGGTTTAGTGGGTGCTGGGACTGATTTGTTCTTCCAGGTTGGCCTTAGGCTTTTTGTTGTAAAATTATATAGCAAGTCAGCAAAGAAAGCCCACACGCAATGAAAGCCCAAGAGATTGGACTCACAAGGGTTCGTACTTTGCCCAATTGAGTGAAGAAAATACTAAGGGTCTCCCAAAAGGGCGATCCCCATGGTGGTGGAAACCAAACGAACACCCTGAGGTGTAGTTGTGCAATACATTTCTCAAACCGGATCGACCAAGGTGCAGCTATGCGCAGCTCAAGGAGAAGAGACTCCAGAGGGCTGAGAGCCGCCAAGCGGATCAGCACAAATCAATTGTTCGAAGCAAGCAAGGTAGGGATTTATCGTGGTAACCTTGTGTACTGTAAAGTCATCGTTGTTACTGGTTGTTCTTGATTCTTTGATACGTGTTGTTAGCGTAATTCATGCTGATGTGTACCATCAATCACAATGATAGCAACTCAAGCCTTCGTGTGCTGGCTTTTCAGTGGGGTTTGGTGTTCGCAGAACTAAGTATGGTTAGTCCAACAAGCATCCAGCTGAACACGTTGGGGTTCAGAGGCCAGCTGTGCCTCTAGAGCTGATTTGTGCGGTGGGGCGCACCTTGAAAAGTGGCGGCAATCTGGGAGAAGACTCTGTGTCATATTTCTTGGTCAGAAAGGAAGTGACCCTCCCCTACTCTATGTCGTATTCTCTATTCTTTTCAGGCCATCCATATCCATCCATCATGTCGCGCAAGAAGTGTAGCGACCATCAATCGTGTTTCACCCGCAGGGTCCGCAGGGTCGCTGGCTTTTCAACGCCGACCTCGCCAGTCCGCGTCGCACCAGGCCGACCGCGCCGACGAAGAGGTGGAGACGGAGCCGGAAAGCGAAGATCGCGCCCACCAGGACCGAAGGGGACCGAACGGTGCGGGGAGGTTCGGTTGGAAATCGAAGTTCTGAGGGCGATCCTGTAGCCTTATCGGACGATCAATGTGCAAGCTGTAGGTCAATGTGCAATTGCCAATCAGTTTTTAGGGTTGAACAGGAGCCATTAAAAATGCAAGGTATTCGAGTCTTGCTTTTGTCACCACACATGGCAGCCACTGTCGAAGAAAATATTACACTTGACCTGGGGAAATATGCATGATTTACCGTTTACTTGAACCACCTAGCCCTTTCAAAACCCAAGGGACCTAGCCATGCTATCGGATGCACTCTGATGGATGCACTCCGAGCGTATGTGGGCCGTTTTGGAACACACGGAAGCAAGCACCCCAGCTGGACACCCAGCTGATATGTCAGCAAGGATCCATGATGATCCATGGCATTTATTCACCTGATCATTCATTGGTGAACAAGGATACTCTTAGTGGCTGGGGCACTTGGGCGGCATTTGGGGTGGCTGGGGGACACTTTACCATGCAGCCCCTAGCACAGTCATCTTTAGAAGAGGCAACACAAGAAGAAGTCTTCCTTTCGATTGTTTTTTCAATCAGTCTTTTATTGAATGCATTGGAATACCATGTTCTCATATGTTCACTGTTTACAACTGAGTTCACGTAAAAGGCTACAGCTGTGGGAGCGGTCCTGTGTGGGTTGTGAGCAAATTCCACCTCTCAGGATGTGGTGCCACGGGCACTTCCAGGCTGCGAGGATTTGTGGCTGCGACGACTGGACCTGTGAGTACCACGTGTACCAATGATTGGGCGCAGAAGCTGCTCTAAGAACTTCCAGTTCTTTCAAGAACATATATTATATATATATATACACGTTACACATCGTTACACTCAAAATTTGCCGGCCGATTGAAAACTCAGCGTTTTTTCCTCCCCCAGCCTTCTCCACGCCTTCTCCAGATGGGCGGATGGCTTGTGAGTTCTGTGGACGGAAGTTCATCCCGTCCAGCTACCAGCGGCATCAGCCCATCTGTCAGAAGGTGCGGGACTCCAGCGACCGGTGCCGATGATGTGGACAGCGTCAAGAATTCGGGTGAAGGGTAGGACGCGCAATCCCAACATTGTGAAGGTATTAAATTGGAAACACCTGATCAAAAACGATAAACAATTACTAGTGAAATGGTGTTGGTCGTCATCGAGAAATGTTTGGCAAAGTGATACTCTCGCTGGTTGGAATGGGTTGCAAAGTTGGGCCTGAATGATCAAGTGTGACTTGATAGGGCCTCCATGCTACGCTCACACATACACGTGTGAACTTGTTGATCCAGACACATTATGCAAAAAGCAAGAAAACATAAAAGACACGGGTCAGTGGGCAGTCTGATGAGGCGAGACGAAAACTCTCCCAGGTCAGACGGGTGTTCATGAGGAGCCGGCTCCTTCGCTGCCTTAGACGAGGTCTTTGGAGGAAGCCGGCCACAGTTCCTTCCTTCCTATGGCGTCTCCAAGGCGCACCACAGGACGAAAGAGTGTGTGCAACGTCCAAAGGTCCAAGCACATCGCGAGGACGTGGGCCAGATACATCATACCTGGGATTCCATGGTTTTTGTCATGGTCTTCCAAACATTTCCAGTTTTCTTCCCCAGATAGTGGGATTTGCTTTCTTGGGTATTTTGGGTCATGTTTGATGGCGTGTCCATTTGTAGTTACATAAGGTGTCCATTTGTAGTTACATAAGATGGATGTTTTTTGGGGCGTGTCACGTCTCTCATCCTCTGTATTTTTGACTTCCATGCTCCTTCCATGCTCCACCCTCTGCAGTGTCTCTCGGAATCTGAAGGGACTGGTTTCCACAGAAAGAAGCGGACGGACCAGTCACGCAGATCGGACCGGACAGACTCCGCGTAGATCGGCAGCGGCCGGACCGGAGCACCGGGAAGTAACGGGACGAGCACATGACGGAGCACCGACTATGGAGCACCGACTGGAGCACGCAGAGCACCGCAACTTGCGCATGCTGCAAACACAGAAGTTGGAAGTGACCGAAATGCGGTGCGGCCGTCAAGATATGTGTATCATTCCCATGAGGTTTCTGCGGACCAATGGTTCCCCTAGACTGGTTCCGTAGGGATAGCAGACAGACTCCATGCGCAAAGGTTGCATATCAACGGGTTTGTCTCGGTGCGAAGCATACCTCCAAAGCATGCCTCATAGTCAAACATCCCAGCCCCCCGAACGTCAAAAGAATACAATAAACATCGATAAACCATATATATATATAATCATCACCTGGGACTTTAAAACGGAGGCTAAATCGGAGAGGGGACACGTGTGTTAAAATGAACACCCAGGCCAGTGCTTTCTGGGATACTGCACTAGAAAAACAAACACACACACAATACAATGGTGCAACCATGTGCAACCAATATGGTTTGCCAATCGACATCATTTTTGTCATTTGTAATTCTTCCTTTGCAAGTCAAACGATCCTTGGGCCATAGGAGCAAGAAGCTACTAGGAACAAAGCGCATCGCTACGAACGGAGCGATCGGACGCTACGAACGGGGCGCTGGCCTTCCTACTAGGAACAAGAAGCTACTAGCAGGACCCTATCCAGCCACGCCCAAAAGTAGTCTGACGGGCTCCCCCCCCCAGGCGTCACCGAACGGTCCATTTCGCCAGGTGGAGCGCGCCTCGCCAGGCCGGGTACCGCGCAAACCGCCGCAATGCCTTTTTGATCCCTTTTGCATCAGAGATATTCAATGCTATTCATACCGTGTTTGATAGCCAACAAATATGCCAAGAAATCAAGAATGCCAGCTTGTCCGCTGCCTTTGAATTGTGCGAACTTGCTTTTGTGCTCACAGTTGAGCCACCTTGCAGCTGTTTTTGGTGTGGGATTCTTGTCCCACAAGTTCAGAAAGACTACCACCGACAACAACCAATGTGAAATCAAATAGTAGACCGCATGTCCCGTGACCTCAGAGCGATTGGTTGCACATTTCAACGAGTGTGACACAATCTGCTCGTGCCGGGACCGTGCCGTGCCCTCCTACCTAACTGACTGAAAGTTGCTCCTCAACTGACCAAACGGTGAGGAAGAACGAGTCCACGATGCAAAGCAGCCTCCAAAGCAAAGCTGGGAGCCTCAGACAGACACGCATAATCCCTTGCGGCGGAAGGGGAGCCAGCTCTGGTTTTTGGAGTTTTCTTGAGTCGACGGCCTCTATCCTAGCAACCAGGCGGATGCAAAGTGACTGCCTCCAGACTGAGTGGGACGCACTCTCCTTGTGGTGATCCTCGGAAACTCGCAGAGTCATGCTGGTCATGCTCCGATTGTATTTGTCATGATGTCATGTTCACAGTGGTAAAATACCTTGGGAACCAAGCCCATCAACTGAAGGAAGTCACATGTATTCACATATGACATCATATGACTATCTGGGTGTTTTGTATGTTTCAAGTGCGTGGAGGCTTAGAACATGCAAAAAGAATAGTGTAGGTGTAAGCACCTCCACCAGTTTGTGGAGGAATTCACCTACACGCGGTGTAAAGAGCGCAAGGTCCTGTCAAAGAAAGACTCTTCCACTACTCTATCTCCAGAAACACCCAACTTGTGGAGTGCCATGTTGGATTCTATGATAAAATGCTCCTTCACACTGGAAGTTGCCTTTCTCTACGTCAATCGGGCATGCTCTGACCTTCACCTAGTGTCCCCTGGTAGAAGGAAGGTCCGATAGTGTCCGCCTGAAATCGGTAGATGCTTGGGTGCTTTGCCCGATTCCATGGCGTAGGAAGGCACATACACACCTCCTGTGAAGGTCTGGGCCTGCCAGTCCCCGACCTGGCCTGGAGCTCAGATCTCGCAGCTCCGGTCTTCGGTCTTCGTTGGCAGCAAATTCAGATCCCCGCACCACTTCACTTGAAGCACCATCACTTCAAAGAGAAAGACCATAAATTCGACTGACCCTGGTGGCTCGTGTCAGCTGCTTGTCCCACCAGCCTCGAGGTCTAGCTGCTGCTGTAGTGCCAGCCTTAGCGGCAGCCGTCATCGCGCCTTCGCGCCATCCCATGAGCCATGTCGCTCCAGGTCTCCTGTCGCACCGGGCTGAAAACAAAAAGACACTAGTCGACGGAAGAGTGATGTCGTTGGGATTCGATTCGGTTCTTAATTCTTAGTGAGACCGTATGGTCACATTCATGTCACATTGGGATCTCATGGGTGGGTCATAAAAGCATGTTTCTAGTATATACGATTCCATTGTTTCAATGGGATCACAATCGCTGCCACTAGATCCCCTCTCTTTGGATTGAGGGGTTTCGTACCTTTTCTATTTTCATGGGTTGCCACAGCGACCCAACTGTAGCTTGGACGATAACGATGATGTTGACATACTTGTTGAGCACTTTAGAGCAAGATTCCCCATAGAGCTAGATATCTTATATATCCGTTGTACGATACTGATTGCTGAAGCCAGAATTGGACATTCTGACTTTAAGTATCGAAGTTTTTTGTGGGTATAGCTGTGTTTGCTTATCTACCAATCTTGTGGTTTTCGGCTTGGTTTTTACACAAACCAAAACAGAAGCAGAAGCAAGTCTGAAGTCTCTCTTCGCCAAAAAAGGAGTCAAAAGGGACAGACATGATCAACC